GTCAGGGCGGCTAGGGTCTGGAACCAGCTTCCAAGTGAGGTGGTGCAGGCTCCCACCCTGGGGGTTTTTAAGAGGAGGTTGGATGACCACCTTACTGGGGTCGTTTGACCCCAGTGCTCTTCCTGCCATGGCAGGGGGTCGGACTAGATGATCTGCTCAGGTCCCTTCCAACCCTAGAAACTATGAAACTATGAAACTGCCCTTCCCCCCGCCCCCAATCATATTGCCCCCTTCCCTGACAGGTGTCTTCTTTTTTGAAACTGGAAATATTGTAACCCTTTGACAACTTTCTTTTTTCCTGGTATCCTAATCTATATTCCCTGGAACATTTTTTGCCCAGAACTCTAAAGTTTGAAGGAGGTAATTTTCTTACTAATGGGTGCTATCCCCTTCCTGTACAGTGTGTAATTACTGCTGTGTGTAATTAAACCTATTTGACTACATTCAACGCCTTTCCTGGCTATTGGATGTTTGCAAAAATATGCATGTAGTAGGTCAGGGGCAGGCAGTTCTTTTGGCTGGAGGGCTGCTTAATGAGGTTTGGTGAGCTTTCGAGGGCTGCATGGGTAGTCCTGCACCCTGGTTGCCATCTTGGGACCAGAAGTCCCACCCCAAACCCTGACTTTTGCTACCCAACATCCTTCCCCTTGGCTCCTGGAAATATGCCTTTTGTGGGGGGAGGTTTGCCATCTAAGAACCAGAAAAAACCCAAATCATACACTAAAAGTCAAACACGTACTGTAACATTCTAATTTTATTACAAAATATTTTTATCATAATTTGTGTTTGCACACTGTATATAGAGGTGACTGAATAATAACTCAAAAATAAACTCTTAGTCTTGTCTATTGTGTATATGTATATGGTGGGTGTTTTGGGGGGGGTATTGGGTATGTTGTGGGGGTGTTGGGGAGAATTGGGGCAGGGTGTGGGGGTGTGGCATTTGTGGGGTATGGGGATCCACCCCCCCATGGCATGCAGTCCTGCAGGTGGTGGCAGCAGGAGCAGGCAGGGGCACTTGGGTTGCTCATGCCCAGCGCAGGTGCTGGTGCCTGATGGCAAGTGTCTGCGGCCAGCACTGCACATCACGGTGAGGAACACAGCCTCACTGGCCTGCCTCTATCATAGGGACTCCCCACTGTGCACACGCAGCTTTCACACTGGCGTACCACTGGGGTGGGAGGTCCACATGCTGGAGCTGGCTGCCTGCACCATTCCCTGTCTCTTGGGTCCTGGGACTCTGCTGGAAGTGGTGGGGAGCTGCGGCCTCTGGTTCCCCACGGAGTCCTGGGACTTGTGTGGCAAGGGACAGGTAAGGCATCTGGGTCCAGCACATGGAGCTTCCCCCCAGTGGCACGCAAGTGCAGAAACTCTGCATGTGCAGTCGGGAGCCCTGGTGATAGAGGTGGGCTAGCTGGGCTGCACTTCTGGCCACAGTATGCAGTGCTGGTTAGAGCTACACACCACCAGGCAGCAGCGTTTGCACTGGGCATAAGCGCTCCTGCCTGCTGTTGCTGCCAGTGGGGCTGCACGCCATGTGGGGGAGTATGTTGGAGGGTCCTTACACCCCCCAGCCTCCCTCGCACCCTGCCCACCCCCCGGCCTATTAAATGCGTATGTTGTTTATTTGATGCAATGCAACTGGAGACAAGAGGCCAATACTTTTTGTGTGCACATGTAATATATAAAAGTTCTGGACAAGATATTTGATAAATAGATATTGCATATGGTTTTTAGAAATGTAGATGAGAATTGCTATCCATTTGTTTAGGTACCTATTAATATGTGTGTATCTGAAAATATAAACTGAAAGAGCAGGCAGCTTTCATTCTTGAAAGGAAATGATTGGCATTTATTCAGCTGTAAAAGTACAGGTACCTGTGGCAGATAATCCTTAATACAAATAGTAATTGACTATGTAAGAATGCATTCTTGCCTTCAAATGCATGGGATTACAATTAAATGAAATTGAAGATGGGTATAAGCCTAATATGTAATTACATCAAATACATTGTGATGCGTCTGAAGTAATGGAGGGCAAGATTGGGCAGTTAGAAATAAGGTATTTAAAAATATTACACATATTTTTCAATAAACAGTAAATGCAAGATAAAACAATTTTGCAGTTTTGTAATAAAATGAATTTTGGAGATAACTATAAAAAAAACTAACATCCTGGGTGCTTTGTTTTATTACAGTCAAATATTAGAAATGAAAGCACAAGTTGCAGATGCTTTCATCGCAAAATTCCAATTAACTCCAAAAGAAATGAACCTTCTTCGAGGCACAAGAGAAGAGCCAATTACTGAGGTAAGTTGAAATACTTGAAAAGCTTTTCATTGAGGTGAAAAACCAGTCACCTTGCAGCAGAATGATGCACTTCTGATATATTTAAAGTGTGACATGGGAGAAAGTGTCAGATTATGAAACAGTAAGTAAGAATCAATGTACATTTTACTGTAAAATCTGTAAAAATTCCACTTTTAAAGTAATGATTCGGCAAGGGGCAAAAACTGTCATTTTAATGTTACTTTCTTCCTCCACTTTGAAATCAAGGCTGTCTGGGGACTCAAATTCCACATTTTCAGTTGAAATGTTAAATTTTTATCTAATACAAGTAAAGAAACTGGTACTTTAAGATCCAGTAATTATTGTGTGCTTATATATATTTTGCTTGGCTATAGCAATATATAAATTGTTTAAGTTTATTTCAAGTTGGACTTTCCTTCATTGTTATTCTTCGTTGTTTAAAATATTAGGTGCTGACTCCCTTATTTTTAGCCACCTTTCCAACTGTTTTTTAAACATGTTTATGTTTTTGCTTAAGAAAGTACATTGTTCTATAGTAAAAGCAAGTAGAATATGCAGAGAATCAAGTATACTTAATAGCCCTTATTATTTTAGTTCCATGGAAATTTTCATTGAAATACAGAATACCTGCTGAGACACGGTATCTTGTTTCCACAGACATCCTGTTAGCAGTGAGAGTATTATTAAGACATAGGGCAGATAGCCATAAACAATACTAATGAAAGTAAAAATGAATTGTGTTAAATGATTGAGCACTTGAATAACTGCCATAAACTTAATAACATACCAAGTGTTATGTTGAAAAGAATGTTTAGGGTCGTGACAAAGTGGTAAGTGCAAAATACAGAGATTTTCCTCCAAAATGTAATATTTTCTCAAATTTTTATTTCTCAAGGGTCTGATCCAAGTTCATCTAGTTTTTCTTCGGACTTCCATGGACTTTTAGGCCCTGCTATCCATTTCTACAATTGTATGTGCTGATACTGGAAGGTACTCCTTGCCCTCTAATTCTGTTGCAAGTTGGAGAGCCCAGTATCTCACAAGATTTAAATCCTAGAAGATGTCCTCACAAATTTATGAATGGAATTGCTAGACTTCACATTCTGTTAGATGTTTAACTAAACATGTTGTAGTAAATGATATCTGGGAAGGGTATTTGCTTCTGGAAAAGAAAATTAGCTTTCCCTCCAGGGGAGATCTCCAAATTTCTTCAAGGGGGAAATATCATTTTTCCCTATTCTCCCTAGACTGAGTGGGATCTATAAGTCCATTAAGTTCTTTCATCTCAGTGTGAAAGAAGAAAATCAGTCACGTGTATGATTATTGATTATGTACTCTTGATTATTGGCTTTGCACTCTTCGAGTCAAACAGAAGTAGTGAAAGTATGATTTCAGTTGGAGTACTGAACAAACTTTACTCATGGGCAGACATTCATTTCTAATACTAAAAAATTCTGTGAAATTCAGGCCCCTGGAAGACATTATACTTAAGATGGAATTTATCTGTTAACTATGCTGTAAAAAATAACCCTACCACATATTCAAAGAATTAATGGCATAACAAAGTGGGAAACCATCCCCAAAAATATTCAACAAAAGCTGTGTAATAATTTTGTGGCTGGTTTCCATAGCACTTTAAATTGAATGTTGCAGACTCACCTGCGGTCACAGGGCAGGGACCAACAGCTGATTGTTGGTCCCAGCTCCAGAGTCACTCTGATTCATGCTGGGCAGCAGGCACCCAGCTGTCAGCTTGCCAGTGTTGGGAGAACCCAGGATTATGATCATGATCCTGAATATTTGACATGGGAGGAGGTGTGACTTTTTTTGTGGGGGGGGGAGGATCAGATCCCATCATACCATGGAATAGATGTGCCAGGGACCTTAGTTTGGGCAAAAGTTATTGTGCTAACGCATGTCAACTGTAAGATACCATGAATTTTCTAGGAAATAACAAGCTCTTGCACATCCTCAACAATTTCTTACCTTCTCAGATTAACTGATTTGTGATCTTCTTCTTCTGCCCATTGTTCACATTTTCTGCAATTTAAAAAATCTTAGTGTTTCTAGGAACTAATATTTTTTTGGTTTAAGGAGGTTATACCAACATTATCCTAATTGTAATAATATCTGACAAAGATTTAACTCGGTCTGTTATTGTAATGAAAGGAAAACCTGTATTTTTTCTACTGCATTAATTATAAGCCTCCAAATTGAGGAAATAACAAAATTGCCAGCAACCTAACAACATGGCAGAAATAACAGTCTTACTCTCTGAGTACTCTTTCTAACTCCTGATAGTGTGTTTTATATATTTTGAGCATAGTCGGTCTCTGAAGGTATGTTTAATCTCTTGCAAATGCTTAGTTTACTTCATAGATTTTTTTTTAGTTTGTAAGATAGATTTATATGTTATGGTGTGCTGGTTTTGTTGTGTTGCTTCTGTTAGTGAACTGAGGATGGGGAAAGACAGATTCCCTTTCTCAAGGAGTTGACTCTAAGTTAACAGCAAATGTCAGACACTTCTGCCCAGTGTTAGTGCATCTGTGTTGCAACAGTAAGATATATTCACACATTTCTCTCTGGTTGATTATTATTGAAAAATTGTAGGGAAGAATTGTGTTTTAAAAAGGGACTTGAGTGAAAAAAGGTACAACAGAGAGAGAGAGACTATTGAGTGTATGGGGTAGAGCAGAAGGAACACAATGAGTATTAGGAATTTTTGTTTAACCGGAAGAACTTTTGAAACAGAATTGTGTGAACTTCAGGCATTAGGAGGTAGAATAGAGAATGAGACTAGAAAGTTTTAGTGGACCTTAAAAATAAGGGTGGGTACTTTGAATTTAACATAGAAGACAAAAGAGCCAGGTACTGACATTACACTTTACTGGTATAATATTACTATTTTACCCACCCCGTTTAAAACTGGAATGCATTTAATGACCAAATTATCCTTTCTAAGGATTTTTTCAAGGCATTGGGAAGAGTAAAGCAAATTCATAATGATGTCAAGATTCTTCTCCGAACAAACCAACAAAGGGCAGGGTAAGTATAATTTGAATAACTGTTTGGCAATCATTTAATAAATAAAAGCAGTGCTTTGTTTATTCTCTCACATCATAATGCAAAAAGTGTTTTAAAGTCCAAACAAAAATATAGCACTGATACAATTTGGAATTCTCAGTACTTTATTGTTAAACTAGAAAGCAAATAAATATTTTTTCTTATAGCCTAGAAATTATGGAACAGATGGCTTTGCTCCAAGAGACATCTTATGAACGACTTTACAGATGGGCTCAAAGTAGGATTGCCATTTTTCTTTGTCTTCTTTTGTTTTGTTCAGTTGTTACATGGAAGATTTAGTTATTAATTTTGGAGTGGTCACTGTTAGTGCAGTAGCATGGCTCGAGCTCAGTTAGAACCTTTTCTTGGTTTTGAGTGCAAGGAAACCCAGGGAGTCTACATGTGCTTGGGTGGGAGGGGTGTTTTAATTAGACCGGCTTCTCAGAGTGCTACTGTATTCAGATTCCAGCACTTCCAAATTATAATTTCATAGGTAGTATGGTCAAAGGGGACCTGAGCAGATCATCAAGTCTGACCCCCTGCCATGGCAGAAAGAGTACTGGGGTCAAACGACCCCAGCAAGGTGATGGTCAAGCCTTGTCTTAAAGACCCCCAGGGTAGGAGCCAGCCCCACTTAGCTTGGAAGTTGGTTCCAGATCCTAGCCACCCTGACAGTGAAGTAGCGCCTCCTGATGTTATGGCAGGATTCTTTTAACTAAAGCTCGTTCAATGACCTTTAGTTAAAGTCCCCCTGCTGCCATTTTGACACACGGGGATGCTGAATACATGTGATGCCAAGGTTGCTGGAGCATTCAGATGAGATGAATCAAGTCTGCTCCAACAGATTCTAATTGGAATGTGTTGGAGCAGGCATTGGGCATGTATATAGGTGCCCCTGAAGTCTAACTACATTTTAAAGAGGGCGTTTCTCTTGGCTAGCCAGTAAAAGCCAACTCCATCACCAAGAGGTTATTTTTCCCCTCTCAGCTGTCATTAGGTCACAAAACTGATCTGAACTCTATTTCTAAAACTAATTTCTTGCTCATTTTCTTTTGTAGCTAGTATCCAAATTAAACAGACTTTGGTGTTCCAAGTTATACCACTTTGGAAAAGCACATCTTGCTTTCTCTTTTTTCCCTTTTTTTATATGGTTACCGGAAAGTTGGAATCACTTGTATTTTCAGCTTTGAACAAAGATAGGATTGTTATGGGATGTTTTTGGAATAGGATTGTTTTGGGGATGCTTTTTTCACATCAATTATATTTTTTCCACATAAGTACTCTTGTTCAGAAACCAAAATATTGCAAAATAATCTGATGGGTAAGCAAGCAGATTCTCCTTCAAAATATTAACTTGCTCCTTCAAAAGATTAACAGGAACATTCCTGGAACAAGCTGGTATAGTCAGTGGATTGGTGGGTTAGATTTTCATCAGTTGGCTCCTAAATTTATATTTAGCATAAGTTACAAATGGAAAATGAGACCGACAGTTGTGAACTGGTCCTTAATGACATGGTATCCATATTGGGGGGAGAGGGGGAGGAGGAAAGAAACAAGCTGCACAATTTGACATCATCTTATTAACGTTTTTGGATGCAATATACAAAAATGTAAAGTCATGTTCATTGCTTAAAAGAACCACTCAGATAAATTTTGTATTCCTTTTTGATATTCCCAGTCATTGAATTGATTGTCATGGAATTAAGGTGTACTTCTAGATTTCGTGGTTAGAAGGCTGTGTAGTTCTTGCCTACAGAAAACCTGACACTAAACCTTACCTTACTGATTTTAAAAAAATAATAATTGTTGTTGAAAATTTAGATCCACAGTCGCACAGAAAATTACTACTCAAGGGGATCCTTATCATAATGACACTAGCTTTCAAAATGTGTTACTGGTTGGCCCTGCTTGATTACAAAATGGGTCTGTGGTGTAATGTAAAAATGAATTTTTATGTTACAGTTTCCCTTTATTTTCTTATGTTATGGCAGGGCATCAAATGTGTTACAATATCTTCATGCTGTCTAAGGATTGGTTGTTTCCCTGATATCTTATTTATATTATAGGTGAGTGCAGGACACTGACACAAGAATCATGTGACATTTCTCCAGTTCTCTCACAAGCCATGGAGGCCTTACAAGACAGACCTGTCCTCTATAAGTACGTACATATTCATAATTCTTTTTCATGGGGATGAGAGCTTTTTTTCTTCTCTTGCTGAACATGGTTCTTCAGCCTACACCACTTAAAATCTACAAGGTGATGGGCTGTCAGCCTCGCATCCAGATTTAATAAAGGCAAGTTTCGATTTTTCTGAACTTTCAGTGATACCTTTTTACAGTGTACAAAACTGTCATGGATCATTTGCAAGATTAATATCAACTTGCAAAATATCAACTTTAGAATAAAATGTTATATCAACTATACTTTCATTCAGTCAAATATGAGTGAATGCTTCTCTCCAAAGAGCCTTTTTTGGTGGCTTCTAGCTAGTAAAAGTTTGCCGAGACTTGATGCTGTGCATAATTTCTTCAAGTGTTGCTTTTGTAAGAAAAGAAAGTAAGTCTTCCACTTAAATTCACAGTGTAGTAAAGCAAAGTTATAATAAGCTACTTTTATTGTGAATTACAATGGCAGTCACCTGAGATTTTTTTCCTGCATCTTTGGAGATCCTCAGTCAAGGTCCAAATCAGGATTTAACTAGATTTCTCCTCTGATAATGGAAGATCAGGCTGAACTGTGTATTTTATCCTGGGCTTCTAACTTTCACTATTCTCTCTTATATTTAGCTTCTCCAAACAACATAAATAACCCTAAGGCTGGTATTCTCCAACCTTCTGAGTGCCATCTAAGTGCAATTTTAACCCTGGTTTGTTTGTTTCTTTCCTCTTTTTAACTTTTTAAGGCAATTTTCTATCAAACAAAAATTAATTATATACCAACAATTTTTGTCCTCATAAAACATTCCTTGAGCTGTTTATTTCCTGTACTAAACTAAGTGGGATGCTGAACTCAAAGAATAATTAAATATATTCTATAGTGAAAAAATAATTCTTGTTTAAGACTTTCTGAGAGGGTTATTTTAAACTGAAGTGCAGTATATTATTAATACACCACAAGGTGGCACTGTGAGAACTGTTTTTTGTTCTTACTTTGAATGCACAATGTTTTCCTGTGTATTTTTGCATTTAGCCCTAATACAGCAAAGTACTTGCACATATTTAGTTTTCAGCATGCTGTTAGTTGCACTGAGTTTGGTATTACTGCTTAAGTGCTTTAAAGTTACGTATGTGCTTAAGTGCTTTGTTGAATTAAAGTTTTTATGAGCAATGCAAACCTCTAGAACTCTTGGTTCAGAAATTATATCTTTTATTAGACCAACTAAGAAATTGCAAAAAATATATATCTTTTTCTGCAAGCTTTTGAGCGCATACACAGTTCCTCAGGCTCAGGGAAAGTTAAAGATGGTAAAAATTCCCCATAGGTAGAAAATAAACTTTATTTTTGCACAGAGGCAGCTGAAGATAGAAGTCTGTCCCTCTGGGTCCATGAGAGTGTCTTTGTGAGTTGCTCTTTGATGTTTAGATAAGGCAGCATTCCTTCCCTGGTGGTTTTTAGAAGCAACTTTTTTGTGGTAGAATTGGAGGAAACAATTGCACAGAACATCAGATGCTTAAAATAATGTCAGGATTCTACTAGGTTTTTCCATCTGTCATGTAAATGTGTAGTGACATGAATGCAATTTTAACGTTTTAGTAGTTATCTATCTGTAGCAATAAACTGAAGTGAATTAAGTTCAGATAAATTATTATACTCAGTTGCTCCCTGACCACACTCCTTGAAAATTAATAAAATTGATCAGAAAATGAAGAATTTGTTTGAAAGTTAACTAATTTACTTCCAGGATATCTGTTCTTTGTTTCTATATAGTGAGGGAACCATATGCTTTTTATCTTTCTTTTTTTAAGTATATATTTTATTTGCTTCCCCTTTTGAAATATTTCTTATTGTTGCTAAGTGTACAGTAGTCTTAAAGTATAGCTCTGTGTCTAGAAAAGTTGAATACTATTGTATTATGATTCCTCTTGGGGTTTCAAGAGAATGCACACTACAGTGGAGATCATTAGTATCTTCAAGAAATACAGGGTGCACATTTCCATATGCTGTACGGCTCTGCATGTTCATTTGAGGTAAGCAACGTCTTACCTGGGGCCTTAGTGTTGAAAGTGATGCATTATAGAGCCAGTATGTCACAGCTTAGCCCTGCACCTTCCCCAAGTACCACTCTTGCCACCTTCCTTCACCCAATCTGCTGCTCTGCTTTCTGCTCCCTACTCTGTGCTTTCTGTCTGATCTTCTCCTGCTTTCTGCTTCTGTGGTGCCTGTCCTTTTCCTGATCTATCAGGTGCCATGTACAGAGGCTGTCCCTGTCACTTGTGCCACAGGTTAGCCATCCCTGCTTACCAAGTATCTATTCCTTCACTATCTATCAGGTGCCTGGTTAGGAATATAAGCCTAGAAGGGGTCTCTGGGTCCATCAAGTCTGGTCTGCTGTTCACAGGCAGTCGTTTACTCAAGGGATTCCCCAAAATCACTACTCCAAGCGATCATACTCAACTACAAGGCACAGTACCCAAAAACATCAAGAACCTCATTCTGTAAGTAAAAGAAGTGCAGACAAGATTGTTGCTAGTGCCTTCCAAATGCAATTACCAGAAAATAATTGGATATTATATGCTTGGAAGATCCTAGGAAAAAGGACCATGCCACATCCTACAGAAGAAGCCAATCCCCACCACATGCGTGGGAGCAATCCAGCCCATCTGACCTAGGGGAAAAATTCCATCTTGACTCCAAATTTGGTGATTAGTACAACATGCAATGAAAGAATAAGACCTTTTAGCCAAGAGCCTCTCTTACAGGTTATAGCACAGTGGCAGAGCTGCATGTGGAAGGGAGATTTCTTATATTATCTCCCCATGCTCTTTTCACACCAGCTTAGGGTCATTAATACCATTACTCAGTTTTTGTCTTCTCCAATAAAAACTAATAAAATACATATTTAAATTAATGTACTTCCTTTAAAGAGTGTAGTCCATGTGATTTTTTTTTTCAACTTTTACAGAAAGTTTCTGATTTTACTATCTATGAGAAAGATACTGCAGTGTTTTTGGCTATCTCTTGTAGGTTCATTGTGGTGTAGTCAGTTGTTTGTTTTTTGCTGCAAAAGTAGGCATGTGAAAGCAGTTTTGTTCCCAGAAATAAAAAGGTAAACATTTATGTGAAACCTTGTTGATACTTTATATTATCTCACAGATTAAGTCCGTATCCTGGCTTCAGTTTACAGTCCTTAGGACTCTTGGAGAGGAGAGAGTAAATTTTCACAAAAAAACCCCATAGGTGATAGCTATTAAACTTACTGGCCATGTCTACCTAGCTAAGGAAACGATTTTAAGTATGAACTCATATTTTTTGTTGATGTCTGAGACAGAAGGCTTAAAAAACAGTCGTCATTTTTATTATGATTATGATGATGATGAAAGATGCTTTAAGAATGGCAGTAGTTTGTCATAATCTAAATCAGGGGTGGAAAAAATATGGCCTGTGAGCCACGTCTGGCCCACCAGGCCATTGTATCCTGCCCGCAGGGCCTCTAAAAAAAAATTTAGAAAATGAAGATTTTTCTGCCCCGGCTCCTTTCAAAGATGGTAGCAGCCAGGGGTAGTTGGACCCAGGGGAAGCCACGGCAAGCTCCTGCAACAGCAAGGCCCGCCCGGCCCCATTCTCCCCTCACCCCCCCCTCTTCCCAGCCCCCCCCCCCCC